ATTCATTTATTTATTATTAATAATAAATAATAAATATTTTTTACTACCTACTAATTATTATTATTATTAGTAGAAAGTAATAAGCATAAATCAAAAAGTCAAATAAGGGTTTTTCATTTTATTCTTGTTTTATTTTATTTATTTTTTATATCAGTGTGTTGACAGTGACCTAAACACACACGACTAATGACACACAGTATATCGTAACCGAAACCCAAGAAGTGTTTTCAACAAAATGAGGGACAAGAAAACACACACACACACACACACACAGACACACACACACAGGCGCTACACTGAGCTGGTACCTGCTTTTATGACCAGGGTGTGGAGAATTTCACAACCCACTTTTGCACTTTGCTCTCCCATATCTCCTGAATACTTTCTTTCAGGGAAGCAGAAAATGAGCCTGGAGCCGATGAAAAGACGGCGATAAAGTCAGGAAGGATGGCACTCAACCTGGAGCAGGAATCTCCGTGAGAGCCGTGAGCTAACGTCCATGCTGAGCTGGTGACCCTCACTCCTCACAGCACACGTCCTTGCTGTGTGGAAATGATTCAGGCAAGCAGAAAGTTTCACCTGCCATTTGGGGGGCACCGTATCCCCCACGGCTCCAGAGGCCTTTGGCAAGTAGTGGAAACAAATGTTTCACAAAATGGCGGGGGGGTGAGGGTTGGGGGGGGGGGGCAGCACTGGGGAACAGCCGTTTACTGATTGCCAAACGTACAAGAAAATCAGTCAAAAAAGGTGAGATATTTCAGAGCAGCAGCCGCCCTCCCATGACATCAGATTTAGCCTAACTTTCCTTTACAGCTTTGCTTATTCCCTTTAATGGCCAACACTCGTCGGCACAGCACGGCTCCACGTAGGTGGTTGAGCCACGAAAGGGTCGCGTACGTGGACGGAAACCTACAATTTACGTGTCAAACGACCAATAGGATGTAAATCTCTCAGTCTTAGCTCCACCGCTGTTCTGTAGTTAGAACACGTTCAGAACCTTTGCCTGATTTTGCTCTGGAGCAGTAAACACATTATTTCTTTTAAAAACAAGTTCCTGTTCCTTTTAAAATAGCAGCTGAGAAAAGAAGAACTTCCAGCAGAGACAGAAACAGCTCCCACATATGTGAGAGTGTTTATGGTGAGGTGAATTCTCTCCTAGTGTCTCTGGCATATATTCAACCACGATGCAACTTCTGAGTCAGTGACGGCGACAACTCTGACCATACAAGGACACGTCGCTGACATCACGGCGTATGACGGTGCAGAAAACCGCTGCTCAGAAGAGCCGGGCAAATTAGAAAAATAAAAAAGTCAATTACTGTGAAATGTCTGGACTGCTGTCATTAAAACCCTACAAAGAATTTAAAAAACTTCATTCTAACAATTTAAATAGATATTTTTTTTAAATCTCATCATCTTTCCACACATGTGGTCACACACACACACACACACACACACACAAACACACACTGAAGCTGGATCTGTGGTGTGATATTAGAGCAGAGGACGACCATCATGTCACACTCAGTGGTACACTGAGCCACAGTCACAAACCAGGTGGGTCAAGATGGACGCACAGACCACAGACCACAGACGACAGACGACACAGAGAGATTCTGGTTCGGCAGAAAATCAAGAGCAGCTGCAGATATTTTGAAGCAAACGTATTTTTTCTGAGTAAATACGGTGGAACTCAAGGATCTGTGTCTCGCTCTCTGAGCTGATGATGTCAGACCACAAGACAGTTTCTAAAAGATGCAGGTCCTTTGTATTTCTGAGCACCTGTTTATAGTGATACCTCAAAAAAACACACAAAAAAAACCCAAAACAATCCAGGTTTTAAACCAGGTTCAATCCTGAGTCCAAATTTGAATTTGAAGCCCTCGTACATTTCCCTTCATTTTCTCCGTACCATTATTTACCCGTCGCTATCAAAACAGCCCTGCTATGCAAATGCTTGCACACACCGCCGACCGTACACACAAATACAAGTGCGATGATGTTGTACACAACATGTCACACAGGCTTGGCCACAAGAATGAAGGACTAAACACACAGAGAGGCTCTCCTTCTCCAGGCTGTTCAGGCTTCAGCCCCGAGACCTGTGGCCGAGCACAGGACTGTGTCCACTGAGAGAGGACCCGCAGCACTTTGATATGCAAATCTGATTCTTCCTAACAGTTGGGATCTGGGTTTGGTTAGATTGAATTTTCTTCTTTGAAGAACACACATGTGAAAATGGAGTTTTCTGACAAAGGTGGAACAGGAGGTTCAAGATCGTCCAGAAAGAATTAGTTAATTGTATGGACACTGTTGAAAAAACTGAAACTTCAATTACACACACACACACACATATATATATATATAAATAAATAAATAAATTTATATTTATATATAAATATATAGGACTTCATAGAATGAAGACATTTTGCAGGACTCTGGTCCAGACAGGAATACTAAGCCAAGGGCAGGAAAAGTCTGGAGCTAAATTTATCTCAATCCACTGATCGAAGGCTGGAGCTCCAGGCTGCTGTGTCTC